CTCTCCGAACCGGGTCTGCCGTTCAGACGGCCTCATCTCAGACGCAGGCAGACGTCGTGGTGCGACGCCTCGATATGGGGACCTCATACCTACCTACCGGTGCCCTGTCGGCCCTGGCCGAGGAATACCACAGTCTAGAGCGCCGCCGCCGGCCCAAGTGTGATGTAAACACGCCTGATCCGCTGCATTGTGGCGCGGAGAGCTGCGCGGACCGAGTTCAGTGATATCTCGGAGTCGTCGTGTTCCACCAGCCACGCCAGCTCAGACGCCGGGATAGACCAGTAACGGGATGAGTTAATCCGGTGGCATCGGATAGGCATTCTTTACAAAGGCGTCTTTTTGAGGTTATGGACTGATTTTGGTGAAAACTTTGTAACGGTAGATGATATGTCTTTATTTATTCCAGGGAATTTCATTAGACGCATTGGAGGCGACGACTAGAGCAAAGCGAAACAGCGGCGGTGTTCCCCTTGATGAAATGAAGTAAAATGGTCATTGACCAGACATGACAGGAGTTGCATGGATTTGCATTGGCACGGACGACCGAATCCCGATTCCCGGATAGGAATATATGTCAATGACGATCTTTGCACACATCCTTTTATGATCTGAACGATTTGCATGATTTAAACGGTTCTTGGGACACAATCAGAACTATGCCGTCCGCTCTCCAGGATTGGTCGAGAATTACAATGTCGTCGAGAGACGCCGACCGCCGGCCGGCGCGGTCAGACGGATAACTGTCGGCAATTTTTGTCGCCAACCGGTTTTAGAATTCCGCTGTCCGCCACAACGGGCCCTTATAAATGAATGGTGATTCACGTTATACCGGAATAGGTATATGAATCTTGTCATCTCACTATCCCTGAAACGGCATCTTCATTGCCTCGTCTTGTATTCCAAGTATCGACTACTTATCGAGTATCGACTTGAATTCATGTCATAAGGGAGTTTGAAATGGACCAGCCTTGGCTGTCACGATCTAAAAAATTATCTGCTCCTTTAGCGTGCACCCCGCACATCGAATTAATGTCGACGATAGAGGGCTAGCAGATTCAACGATAAAGCATCATGCCCGAGTTACCTTGCAGTTTGCACTGACTTTTGCCCGTTCTCCTGCAGTTCCTTTTTCATATGCAGTTTTCATGCAAGTTTGAAGCCAAAATGGCTGCTGGAAAACACGTCTGGTTGCCTAATCCTATCACCATTCACGGATGCACCTACGGCGCCTTTACCTGAGCGTTTCGACTTGGCGGCCGTGCCGCGGCGCGGCGGGTGTCGGCCGCTCCCGGAAGTGTTCCGATCGATCTGCAGGGTCGCGCGGAGGGGCGGCGCGGGTGCTCCACCCTCCCCTCGGCACCCGGCCGGCCCCGTGGAGGTGCACGCCGGCTGGCAGACCATTGATCGCGGCTAACGTTACACCGCGGACGGACAGCGTCAGCAGTTCAAACCGCAACGCGTCTAAACACCAGCTCAGAGCGCCGTCAACAACGCAGCGACCGGTCAGAGGCCGGGGTTGAGATACCCACGGTGACTATAAGAGATACCCATCCATTGCACACTGCATAGTGCACTGTGAACAGGCTCAGCTATCCATGTGTGATACGCCAAAACGGCACGATGAGTTGCTAATAAATTACATGTGCTTGTAGGGGAAGCTACTGATTTGCTGGTGTGAGGAGGCGGAAAATGACGAGGTTCAGTCGGCTTTTTGCTGTGTCACGCCCTCTCGTATATTGATATGACGACCTACGAGACGCGTCATGATCTGCTGAGTGATGGACAGATGCAGAGCGGCGTCGGATCGGGCTAGACCGGACTGCCCCAGCGCGACGTAACGCCTGGCAGTAGGAGGGTACGAGAAACCGTATACGGAGTTAGAAGAACTTAACGTGAGATTTTATTAGTCTCGGACGGTAGGACAGACGGCGCACCTGCCATGGCCAGTAACCGGTGCCCTGTAACCAGTGACCGTCGACCGGTAGCCGGTGGTGACCTGTGGCAGATGACCGGTGTGGTCAGTCGGTGGCCGGTGTGCCGGCTCCCCGTCGGCTGAGTCACCGGGCCGCTCTGTGCGGCGCCGGGCAGAAATAACCCGGCGCCGGCCCCGTTTGCCGTGCTCGGCGTGCCGGCCGGTGTCTGCCGGCTCAGCCGACCTGTCTCCGCCGTACCCCCCCCCCCCCTGGTGACCCCCTGTGTGACGTCACGCCGGTGACGCCAGCCGCGCCGCGGGCCGCCGCCGCCGCCCACCGCGGTCCGCGTGGGCCATCGAGGGCGCCCCGGGGCCATTCAGCGCTCCGCCTGGAATGTTCCGAGGGCCGCGGAGGCCCGCCAAGAGCCGTCCGTGGACCGTCCCGGAAGCCTGGACTGAGATGAATGCTGGCAGGCTGATCTGTTCGGGGCGGGTCGGGGACTCGGGCGCCATGGCAGCTGGTGGGTCTGTTTGTTTGGCAGCTCCTGCAGCCTGCAGGTGTTGACGGCTGTTGTTTCGTGCCGGACGGGGTGGCCGATCCGTCAGGTGCAGCGGTGGCACAGAGGTGTGATGTCACCGCAGGCACGGCACCGCGCGTCACGGGCTAGGCGGCTCCAATGCTGGGGGTCGAGCGTCCAACGCCACATGGTGGACGTTGGGGAGACCGGCGTACTGAACTGCGATCGGCGCTGAGGTGTGTGGATCATATCTGTTGGCTAATGACAGGTGTATCAAGGATATGACGATCACGATGTCTATTCGACGCTCGATGACATCACGTTCCAGTCCATCAAATAGGTGGACATATCGAGTTGACGGACCGCTAGTTTTTCGAGTTGGCCGAATAACTGAGAACGACGGTCGACTATGATACTCAGCCGGAACGAAGAGGCGGCTGATCAATTGCCTCAGACACTGAACCCTCTATGCCGGCATTATGTCCTGTCTTGTCGCTCACGAAAACTTTGATAAAGCTGTCGACGATAAACACAAGGCAGTTGAATAGTTTGTACGAATGCAAGCACACAACTTTGGGCAATTATCCCTCTACAAAATACCTACGTGCCGCTTAAATTAGACAAAATGTATCGGTTTGACCATATTGTGCGGTGTCTTGCACTGATAGGTAAGGCTGCTTGCGCGCTCCTGAGGCGAATTCCAGTCTGGTAACTTGGCATGACAAGGCCCGGTCCACGGTTCGTATTCCTTGACGCCAGTTGTGGTATCGCGGTAATAAGGTTTCAAGGATTGATTTATGGTTTTCTCAAAACGGAACGAGCATCAGACCGGACATACCAACTGTGATGTGGATCGAGCGAAAAAAGCAATTTTTACTGTGCCACCGATATGTTTCATAAACACTTAATGTGGACGTGTAACTGGAGCAAATAGAAATCATACGCCGTGGTCGGAATTCATATTTCGCACCGAAGTAACGTCATAGATGTGAATTGCGAGAGACAACTATTGTTGCTGCAATGGCCCATAATTTTTTTTTTTTACCTACCTAACGAATGGTGATCGTCGTGGAACGACGATTTGTCTCGATCATCGGCCTCCTTTAGTGTCCAGTTGATCACAATTAAGTGCTTACAGCATCTCAAACACAACAGACAGCTCCCTTCCCCTGGCTCTTACGTCTGTGTCTCTTCCTCGTCTCCAGACCAGTTCGGTCTTCTGAGACTCTTCAACAATGCATTGATTGCGAGGGAGCAGCACATTCACTGTTGCATTGAAAGGCTGACGTCGCTCGGGCTGGCTGCGACAGCTACCTATATACGGCCAGCCACAGCTCTCCGCGCCTCCGAGCGATCCAGAACGCCCGGCTGAGTCAGCTCCCCGCGAGCTGGCGGGCGGCGGCAGACGGCGCCGGTTACGTGGAGGTCGCGTAAGAGCCTTGTGACGCGCTGGCGCGGGGGTGGCGGCTCCCGGGGCGGCCGCTGCGCGGAGGACCTGCGGACGGGCGCCGCCGCCCACTCGGCTCACCGCTGAGGTCACGGAGCGCGCTGAGTGTCGGCGCCGCTGACTGCGCCGCGGCCGCCGCTGCGCTGATCGGACGGGGCTGACGTCACGCGCTGTACGGGCACTGCGTGGCCAGTTCGACGAACACAGGAAGTGCAGATGACGTCACTATGCAGCTGCAGAGCGCATACTGCATATGGTGCCGAGTGCCGCCCCCGCCCGGCGTGATGGTCAATGGTCGCCCGCTGCACGTTTGTCACTCCGCCCGCGCCTGGCTCTCCAGGAAGTCGGATAAGTCTTCAAAGGAGCCTCTCAGCACGCGCAAAAGGGAAAACAAATACCCATAAATGTGTTTGCCGACGTTCTGACGCGCACCAAAACACACCTGCGCACTCAAATACTCACACAGACACACGGACACACGTGCACGGCCGGGGCGCGGACCGGATCGTTCGGACGGTTCTTACCGTACTGGTAAACAAACACCGAGTCGGCACCGGCAGCGGATTCACACACTGGGACAATGGCAGCCGGTTGTGGAAGGACGGCGCAGTCGGCACTCTGTGCCATACCTCATGCTATCATGTGTAGAAAACGGCTACTTCGTGGACCATTATCGCCGTTCATTCGGTTTATCAATTCATCCGCTCATAAATTGATACATTTACTCGTTCTTCCGTTTTCTTTTGTGCTGCGCATATATAGCGTTGCCTCACTATGCCAACACCTATATTCCGGGTTGCTTATAGGTGCTTTCTTACGACTGGATAAATTTATCGTCGAATGAGACTAAAGTGGAAAACAGCCACCGTTGGCCGCATTTGCAAACACGAGATTATCGATACGAGATAAAATCTGAGTTATCGACACGAAGCTCCAGGCAGTTTACCCTCAAACCAAACATATGCGGATTTACACCAAGCACGGATATCTTTAGATTACCCTCGCCGGTTGTACTTTTGACACAACAACCCGACGAGCATCGTCCGTTCGTGACTGATCTTTTCTCCGCCTGCAGTACGCCGACCGTCCACCCCTGGTGACCCGTCCCTGTCCGTCCCTGCAGGTTCAGCGGCGCCCAGTACTCGTTCGCCGACACGTTCGAGGTCTCCGAGTCGGAGTCGGATGACGACGAGTTCTACCTGCCGGCGCCGGCGCGCCGCCGCCACCTGCAGTGGCGGCACAAGCCGGCGCTCACGCTCGAGGCGGCCGACGACGGCGCGTCCGAGGCGCCGTCGGAGGCGGCCTCCGAGCCGGCCGCCGAGCGGTTCGCCGAGCTCGGGGACGACGTGGCCCAGGCCGAGGAGGAGGCCCGCCGGCGCCGCGAGCGGCTCCACAAGATCGCCCAGGAGCTGATGGTGACGGAGCGGAAGTACGTCCAGGAGCTGCACCTCATCGACCAGGTCAGACGGTCGGCGCCGCTGGCGGTGCAGTGGGGGTCAATGGGGAGGGAGGGGACAGCGAGGTGCTTCTGACAACTTGGATGTGTACCACTCAAACAACGCTATGTCGAAAGTTTATTCGGAGGCTTAAAAGATTACACTTTGGAATGGCGTGTAATCGCTGAGGTAATCCCACGAATATGAGATTGGATAGGCATCTGTAGTGTTTGCAGAAATAGACCGTCCCGTCACGCTCCGAAGCCACGTGTAGCTGTCAATGTCTGGCGTTGTTTGATTTTGTTCGTGTCTCAATGTAGTTGCCCTTCGTATTTAGCAACAATATTTATATCATTTGGAGAAATTTGCTCCATTCAGTCTTTTTAAAAGCAGATGTTCCGTAACCCCAGTCGGATTACATCTAACGTCTTGTATGCAATCTATCGCACTAAGATTTTGCAGTAGGTACTCAAATACAAATACCGCCTACCTACTTCGATATATTTTTTTAGATGCAGAATGAGACTGTTGTTTTCTATGCTGGAGTGTTGAAAAACCCGGCATCTCTGAGCGGTATGAAATACGGCCCTGGCGCCGTCAGTTTGAAATGAATTGAATGAATTCAGTGCCGTTCGACGAACCTCGGTGCCGACAAACTTCCTGTACCCGTGCACGCTGTGAGGGCTGAGGCGTGCCGCCCGTGCACGGCTGGGCTGGGCCGGCACTCGGCTCCGTATGCTCAACTGGGGCAGCTGGGGTTCGGTCAGACCGGCGCTGGGCCTGGGCCGATACTTTGCATCGGGGCAGGCTCACCGTCACACAGGGGGACAGCGCGGCCGGTTATTGGTGTTTTAGGCACTGATTCAGCTATTAGAAAGCGACTTAGTAATAAGTATTCGGGCGAGACCGGTATTACGTAGCTAATTAGTGGTGATGTGAACCGCATTAGCTGAAAGCTATAATTCCAGTTGGACCATTTATCTGTGCCACACCCTCTGTTGCCGCCTTAAAAAGACGGTGTTGTCATCGTTTCTGAGTACCGAGTAGATATGTCATGACTGGCTCTGAGAACGATCCGTGTCGCCGACGGCCCGCTGACACGCTCCGCTCCTCCGCCCAGATCTTCCACTTCCGCGTGGACCAGGAGAACCGGGCGCACCACATGTTCAACAACGAGATCACGGCGCAGATGTTCTCCAACGTCAAGTCCATCTACCAGTTCCACAAGGACCACATGCTGCCGCAGCTGGAGGCGCGGCTGGAGAGCTGGGAGGACGACCCGCGGATCGGTAAGGGCGCGCTGCCCGAGTGGCGGCTGATAATTTACGGCAGCTCGTTACGGGCGCGCGCCGCCTCACTGGGCTGGGCGGCACCCGACTGTCCACTGCGGCCCTTCATCCGTCCGCGATCATGGGCGGCCTCGGATGGTATCAGTACAGGGAGATGACACTGGCCCGCGGGGTATTTCAGCCGAGTCAGCAGATTCTGTGTAAGCCCCGGCTGGCGAAAGGTGGGCGTCCGGCCCCTCCGCTCTGTTCCAAACAATGTGACGGTTCTTCTCCGCGCTGTATAAATCGGGTGGCGGATCGGCGCCGGCGCCTGCCAAACATAGATAACGGCTGCAGCTGCGGCTTGGCCAGCTCACAGCTGCAGCTGTTTAAACAAACCGCCGCCCGTGGGCTCGCACCTGGAGCGTCCCAAAGCTCTGATTCGCCCGTGTGAAACCTTTGTTTCAAAAACAAAGCTCCATAACTCTTGGTCGGCCTCTAAATCTCGGTAAGATCTGATCAACTTAATTATTGGACCTTATTCTTTTTTCTCTCCGGGAATATGCGTTCGCTTCAAAATAAATGATCCAAAGGCCCCGAACGCTATCGGTGTTTCGTGTCGCGGATCGAGGATTTGAGCAGCTAGCCGGGTCCCGTCCTGCGCCGGGAGTCGTGTGGTGGTCGCCACCGACCCGGCCATCCTTTGTCCCGGCTCGGCCAGCGTAACGGCCGGGCCGACCCGGTGCCCACCTGGTCTGGATGGGCTGGCTGAGGTGGGAGGATGGGCTGAAGTGTATGATAAATCGTTTTTAGCTGAATGAAGAGCCGGATATGATGATTCACCTATGCATGCTCATTCACTTAGCCAGATATACGTGCCGTTAACCAACTTTGACTAACGTTCATTCTATTATTAAGTCTCTGATTATAATAAAACCCCGCTGCCGCGATATCCCACCAGGCAGTCTGTTGTGGCTCTCTGTGCCTCCCTTCACATAACCAGCGCCGCTTTCCTCCACCTCTCCGCCTCGGGACAAATATTTGACCCCGACCGAAAACAGAGGCGACGGGCTGCCGCCAACAGCAGCGGCGCGGCGCGGCGGGTGTATGTGTGGGGGTGTGCACAATGGGCTGGCGCTGGGTAGGTGGTGGTGGGGCTGCAGGAAGGCGTTTGGACTGCCGGGGGGGGGGGGGCACAGTGGGCACACGGTACAGTGCACACTGCACAGCCTTCTGGCGGCATGCAGCTCGTCCGGTGGGGGGGGGGGGAGGGGGTGAACAGGTGGGCTGTTCACTGTTCAGTACGGGTGCTGTGCTGCTATTGTTCCTGGCTCTTGCCCTTTGATTGCATTTACGAGCTGGAGCCTTTTGCCACTATCCCTGACGTTGGGTACTTACTGTTTCTCTGCGGGATTTTCTGGGTGGCACATTGGTGACGCTACTGTGCTATTATGCAAACTATTTTTTTTTTTTGTCTGTAACGATCCCGGGCCACTGCTGACGAATAGGTAGGTAACGACGTAGCGTCCCGGGTAGACTCCAAGGCTGGGCTCGGCGGTTAGCGCTGCTCTCGTTCGCCGCCCGTTGAGAGGAGCTGTCATTACAGCCGGTCAAGACCGTTTATAAATGGTCGGTCACAGTCGGCACCGGTCGAAACTCAAACAATGAGTCGGCAACGGCGTCGGGAGGCGGTAGCTATCGTATCGAACGGAAGTCTCGACTTGTGGCATGACGAGGGAATGATGCAGATTGCTGGTTTACTTGTTCACTTGTTACGAGTCCGTGTGCCTGCTTTTAAACGGCGACTGACATCTCCGTGTGAACATTTGCAGGCGATATCATGAAGTCGTGCGCGCCGTTCCTCAAGATGTACACCGAGTTCGTTAAGAACTTCGACAACGCCATGAACCTGATCAACGCGTTCGCGGCCAAGTCGTCACGGTTCGCGGCCATCATGAACGAGATACACGTGAGTTCTTATGCGTTTGCGGTTATGTTTTATTCAATCTTAGGCAATGGCCAGAGCAGATAAGAAATTTAAGTATGGTTTTGATTGCTCGATCTACATACGATTGGGTCGATGGAATGAGGAAGCCAAAGATGAAACGTGATACCTGCTGTATCAACTTGGTTTGTAAAAATTACGGACCAAACACATTATCGTAACCTCATCATTGGATGGCTTTCTCCTCTCTGAACTATCACTGTCCGGACCTGTGTGTCTGCGTATGGCGTGCCTGCGCCGGCTAGTGAGGTAGACAGTGACCAGTGCGTGTGTGCCTGCGTCACTTACCGAGGTGTGCACTGCACTCGTCGGTGGCAGGTTTAGGGAGCCCGCGTGCTGATGACGCACTATCGGCGGTGCGTCCCGCTCGATGGGCGATACCCTCGGTCTCTGCCGGCCAGCTGGCCGGCAGAGACCGAGGGCTGGCGGGTCGCTCCATCAGCCTCCGGGTCAGTGGGTCAGCAGCCGACACTGATGGGTCGCCGGGGATACTGCAGCCGGTGGGGCCGCGTTGTGACCGCACCTGTCCTCCCCGTCCCACAGGAGATGGAGGAGTGCGGAAACCTGCCCCTGCAGCACCACATGATCGTGCCCATCCAGAGAGTGCCGCGCTACGAGCTGCTGCTCAAGGACTACCTGAAACGGCTGCCCGAGGACTCGCCCGACTACGACGACACCAAAAGTACGTGAACGGGACGCTAGCTGTGAATGGTAAAACGGTGGTGGGTTTCCGCGTAACACATGCGACCAAAACGAGGACGAGAGTCGAGGTCACCGTGCTTTTACAATTTTATAGTGATTTTGTAGTGACATGTTTCACGACTCTCGCATTTCAATACACTCGCGTTTTCTCTGCTGTACCAGCGTTGATCATTTGCAGCCCTAGGTCGTGGCACCCGTAGCAGTTATATTGAGTAGCAGAGGCAGGTGTTGGCCCACTTCACACCCGACCCTGTTCGGACCCGTCCAACTGCTAGTCTTTGCTCGCTCGGGATTCCCACACAAGCACTCGTAGTCACACGGCAGAGCGGCGGACGATGTGACTGGCACTTTCCACCTGCCTGCACAATGCATCCGCCCATCACACGCTTTCGCCGGAGCGGCGGCGAGTGCTGGCCGGCCGACGGATTATTCCACCGCTCTGTTACTGCCGCCATCACCGTCCATCAGCGCACCGCACCGACACGGAAATTATAGCCGGCGGCAGTTGGCAGCGTGCCAATGATTCATCGCACCCTCGGGTGACCACTTAGCAACAGCCCCGGGCGCCACACGTAGTGAGGGCGGGCGGATAGTCGTCAGGAGCTGCCGGTGCACGGCCATTAATTCTGGTATGTGCAGTGCGCGTCTTGGTATGCGTCTCTGGTGCACGAACGTCCGACAGATAGATGTCAGGTCATGATCCGATCGTAACTACACATTTTGCGATACGCGGTATTCCGAACATCAGTTCGGCCGATCCTTATGCGTTCCGGAGCCTAGGGCAGTTTGTAACGCGGTGTCAGTCCTTTCACATTTATATTTATCATGTAAATATCACGGACATGTATCATAACTCGGGCAGTGGCCGACCCTCCGCCCTCGTTACCTACCTGATCTGGCCGGCACGCTGATTTGACCTGACCGGGACCTCCCCTTCCACAGAGGCGCTGGAGCTGGTGACGCACGCGGCCACACACAGTAACGAGACGATGAAGCGGGTCGACAAGTTCAAGCAGCTGCTGGAGATTCAGGAGAACATCAGCGGCGGGCCCGACCTCGTTTCGCCGACCCGGCAGCTCGTCAAACAGGGCAAGATCAGCAAAATCTCTGCGCGCGGCGGCGACCACCAGGAGCGCTACCTCTTCCTCGTGAGTGAGATTTAAATCTATTTTCATTTCCAATGTCTCAGCTTAGTATGTAAGTACATACCTACCTGTTTCGGAGACATTTATTTCCAGTTTCCTAGAGGAGAGGTTGCTGGTGGACGCGACTAAAATTTTTTCCCTGGTGACCACTGACCATTCTTTTACACCAATAAGCGGTTCAGTTTATTTTATTATCAGTTTATTTTATACAGTTCAAAGCAATTTGCAGGACATGGTTCATCAACGTCACGAACGTATACCGTGTTATTGCTATCAGCATCGCGTGTTGTCGCACCAGTCGCCTCTAGCGGCCTCCCATGTGCATTCTCTGCAGCTGGCTGCTGGGAAACGGGCCGTTTTATTGCGACTGTGTTCCGTATTAGCAGATGCGTGGGCCCCGTTAACAGTTGTCGATACTTTTTACAAAACATTACACGCGAGAATGTATATTCTTGGAGCACCGTTAAACCGTAAATCTCAATTATTGCGATTTTGGCCTAATGTCCTGTCACGTTCAATGCATTTTCATCGCGGTACCACCGGGGCATCCTGAAACCTCCGAAGTAGTGGACACGGTCAGGATTTCGTTTAGTGAGCAAAAAAGATTGATCTTAAAAGGAGAGTGATCTACAACAATACAGCAGGGCATTCGCCAAAGGCATAATTTTCATATCAAAGAAGAATTCTCTGACACGCGATTCGCGAATTCCTTCTACTAAAACGAATCTCCATGATTCTGATTCGCGGCAATTATGAACTTGTAGCCAAGTTTTCAGCCATGGCGCCGAACCATTTTCTTTGCCATCCCGTCCATTTGCTGCCGGCGGCCGATCCTGGCCCTGCGTTGTGTTATATTGCGGCTGTCTGGTGCCGGAGTCCATCCCCGCGCGGCTCGGTCCGTCCGTATTGTCTGCCGGTAATCTGGCGGCGGATCCGGCTCAGTCGGACGCGCCGTGTTTGCCGTCGGCCGATGATTGGCCGCCGGGCACACATCGCCAGGGTGGCCGGCGGTCGTTGACGCGCGGCCGGCTGATGGTGTCCTCTCCGGCCCGTGACCCCCGGCCGCCGGCCTATCGAGCGATCAGGCTTTTTGTCTGTCCATCAGAGCAGCGCTGCAGAGCGGGTCACGGTGGCCGCCCGGCGTAGCCGCGAAGAGAGCAGAGGAGAGGACTGAGGATGGGACGGAAGAGAGGAGAGAGAGGAGAGTGAGTGATCTCCCAGAGATAACCTAGTGACAGTTTGTTTGCGGGAAGTTCAAGGCGGGACGGCGTCACATTAGTGGAAACTGAAGAGACTGACAGCCACTTGATACTGTTTGGCGGCGTTGTTAGATCACCACATTAGGCAACTGGTCCATCCAAATCCAAAATAGCCTAGGAACCAGGCACCGTTCCATTCACCTGAAGCAATTCATCAAAACGGGTTACTCGGCTGCTGACACAGTCAGCTTTGATCACTAACTCGATCTCCTTGACGTTCAACGGCCACAATGGACACATCAATAACCCGCCGACAGAACTAGAGGCCGTCACCGACATCAAAAGCGGCTGGTCTGCCCTTCTCGCCCTGGTGGTCCGATATCGCCGCCATTCTCCGCATGCAGATCGGCCCGGCGCCCTCCGTCCCTCCCAGGTCACGGCGCCGCCCGCTGTCGGGCCGGGCGGCTCCTTTGGTGAGCGGCTCCCATTGTCAGCTTCCCGAGGCTGACCCGTCCTGCCGCCTGGCGGGCAGGCAGCGCGCCGTTTTTGCTCGTCCTTCCGTGCCCCGCGTCCGCCCACTGCACGGTCTTGCCGAATACCACATTAGCGCGAATTTAATCAAAAATCCGACTTTCGATAAACTGTTATTTATACCTATCAATGGGTAGGAAATTGTCCGAAGTTATCGGATAGAACCTTATTTTTAAGCCACTTTATCATTTGAGGACTTATATCCCTGCCGAAAGTAGACCCACGCTCCGGTTTCTGAAATCGGGCTATGGTACTGAGAAATATGTCCAGTTTTCAATGTAAATTTTACGGAAGCTTCGAGAAGATATATGAGAAAATAGCATATCACCGGATAGCACAATTCATGATGAAGCTGTTTCTGCTATCATGGTAGCTTTTTAATGAATGGTTTCTGAGTTTAATGAGTTAGAACAGGAGCCCTGCATGTGTATCGTTCTCACGATAGTATTTCATAAAGAAGTTGGAAAATGTCAAAATGGATAAAAATGGATATGACGAATAGGGCATGGCTGAACTCTCCGCACATTTCTGAACATAAGCGAGCAAGTTTCAGCTGCCACTTTTTGCCTATTTGCCGTCAATTCAGCTTTGAACATGTCTAGTCGGCCGCCCGGCGTGACCTGACCAAGGTCGGGGGCGGCGCGGCCGGACAGGCTCCAGCCTAATTACCTATCTCAAGCACACGGAATCGTGATTTCATGCACTCCTTGCAAGGTCCGATGCTTCACTTTTGCATTATTGGCCTTACGTGACGTCATTTATGACGTCACTAGGGTAATAAGAGTTTTTCGTCAATAACTCCCGATCAAATTGAGCTAGCGAGTCGGGAAAGCCACCAATGGACTCAGGAAGACCTGCCGAATCGAATGATATGCAACATGACCTCCTTCGACCAACTTCGTGATCTGGGGGGCTCTAACCTGACCTTGACCCGAGGTCAACACCTTAAGTTGACTTCAGCCGAACAAAAAGTATACCATTCGACGCACCTGAGCGAGGCGAACACGATGATGCCAAAATTGCGGCTCTGCGGCATTTTTTTTCGCGAAGTTATTAATAAAAAACGAATCCGTGCCTTGGGCCACTTGACCTGACCTCAGAGGTCACAGGTTAACCTGAGACCTTAAAATCGGATACCAGTTGCTGCGTCTCCTAACGGCACACACGCTCGTTTTTTTTCCGCGAGGCTCTAGCTTCATCAGGGGCGAAACAGCGACGGGGGTCGTGCCCCCCCCCCCTTTCGGCCGGCGCGTATTTTGAAAACCAATAGGTCCGGCGAGGGGAAAATGTCAGTTTTGGAACCAGATAACCATTTTCAGTGGATCCGAGCGGCGCTGGGATTAAATTCGCGCTTAACTGGTATTCGGCCACACTGTGCACTGACCGGGTCGACCCATCGCGTCCCATTGCGCCTCTCAGGCTGCTCTCTGCGGTGTATTGGACGGGCTCGTCCGTTCCATACCAGCACCCATTGCCTCTGTGTAATGGGGCGTGAGCCAGACAGCGTAAAAACGCTGGCGGCACTGACTGAGCGTCCGTCGCGGCGAGGCACGTCGGGAACACCGCCACTAAAAACACTGCTCAGTGACGGGGCGGGGAGACGCGACTCACGCGCGCGGGGCGGGGTCAGGTCAAGGTGGGGAGGTCGCCGCGCGGCGGAAGGCGGGCTCGCCGCAGCCTCCGAGTCGGGTGCTAATGGGCCGAGGGTCGGGACGGAGCAGTCTGAGGCCGAGTCGGGCGGGTTTACGACTTGTTGTTAGAGCTCCGGCTGAAGGGCGTTTCAGGAAGGCCGTAAATTATGTTATACGGCACGCAAATGTGGGCCACAGCTGGGCGGAGAGCAGGCAGTTCCTTCTTATCTGCCCGATTATCGATGCAAGAACATATCATTAGGGTGAGATCTTGTACTTCTAAACGGATGAGTGGAGACCGAACACCATAATCTGCTCAACCACCGTCGTATTTAAGCCAGTCACCACATATATCTATAGTCGTTACCGGTACCCTCATTCAGTCGTGTTGCAACACCTCAGTGAGATCGATTGCCTGTTCGGTTGAATCTTAACGGATGCTGTGCCAGAGTTGTTGTTTAGGTTTTTGAGCCGCGCCAAGAAAAAAGTTCCAGACGGAATCACAAATCTTTCAAATGCATGGCTGCTTCTTTTGCTTTCCAACTGCCATAAACCTGACACATCGCCCGTAAATCAACACAATGGGTCCTGGGAACATTTCGAAAACCCGGATACAATGCACGCCTAAATTAGTGCATGTTTATTGTCCGCAAGTGTTGATTGTTAATTTTTATTCAGTGTCAACTGTACGACATTTACGTGTCCCCTCGAAACGGCGAACATCAATGCTTTATTTAGGCTGCATCAAACCATCAAAACTACGCGAAGTTGAGCAAAAAGTGACATTGGGTGTGTCTGATCTTTCAATTAAAACTAAAGCAACGGTTCGTTATTCCTAGATCAAGCGTGGCTGAAGTTTTTCAGCATTGTGATCTACTGTAGCTGTTGCTATTTTGTGATCCATACTCGTAAAAACGTGTGTGTCATGAGCCTGCATGTTCTGGTTCGAAGTACGAGCCATGTGTTGTGACATGCCGTTGGCGGCGGCGTTTCAAATACCATCAGGTCAACTGAGTCGCCTTCTGAGCGGACACGACCACAGTTTACTCCTCACCCGGCCGGCGGCGGATATAAACAGACAGGGCCTGTCACCGCCGCGGTCCACTGTCTACCCTCCACTTCTGCCGGACCACAGACAGCCGTAGATACGGATAGAGGACGTAAATACGGACAGAAAGTCGTAGGTACGGACAGATAGCCGTGCATACGCCGATAGCCGTCCATGAGCGGGGTGACGATTTGCGAAACGTCGAGCTGTGGCTTCGAGTTGGTGTCGCATCCACTTTTTTAACCTTGCACACTCTTGCCATTTGCCACCTTCCAACATAAGGAAATCGCTTGGCAATTGTAACTTCTCTGACAGCAGGGAGACGAAAGCAGCCGTCTTAGACGTGCCGGATGGGTCGAAACCCTACTTGGTTATGGAGGCCCTGAGGGCTTTTACGAAGCGCTGCGCGAAATGTGTTTGTCTTAACGCTGGTTATTTGAATACATGAACCACATGAACATTTTTGGTCTATTAGTCCATCTCTGTTCCTTCATGGTCGAGCCCGGAACTTTTTGAACGCCCATCGTATTTCCGGCTTTCCGACGTCACTTTGACTCATACCGCGCTGGTTTTCCCTCGGTGGTATACCCTTTTATGACCCACGCATCAGTAATGCCGCTGTGTCACGGCTGAACAGGCATACGGAAGCTGAATCCATTTGCCGCTGCCGCAGACTGCGATAACAATTGATGGAGCTATGCCTCTAAATAGAGCATAAACTATGGCTTCCGGTTCACGTCTCGTAACCACATCACATCATTCTTACAGCCGTTGCGGCCGGTGTGAAACCACGGAGCATCACTACACCGAGCGCTGTAACTTATACCCTTCACACATTTAGTCGAAACCACATACGGCTGTTCGGCAGAACCCTTCCCCACCACCGACTGACCCTGGCGTCCCCCAGCTCACCCCCGTCCCCGCCCTGTCTGTGTCTCCAGTTCTCGGACCTGCTGCTGCTCTGTTCGCCGCGTCTCATCAACAACCGCATCATCTCGGGGCCGGCGTACCGGCTGCGCGCCAAGTTCGCCATCGAGGGACTCGAGGTGCTCGAGGGAGACAACCTGGAGACGGGCAACACCTTCTACGTCCACGGCGGCCAGAAGAACGTCGAGCTGTACACGCAGTGAGTGGTCGCGGTCTCTGTTCACCAGACCCTCTCCATTGGTACCAGCCCCTCATTGCCTGTAACGTCGAGCTGTACACACAGTGAGTGGTCGCGGTCTCTGTTCACCAGACCCTCTCCATTGGTACCAGCCCCTCATTGCCTGTAACGTCGAGCTGTACACACAGTGAGTGGTCGTGGTCTCTGTTCACCAGACCCTCCCTATTGGTACCAGCCCCTCATTGCCTGTAACGTCGAGCTGTACACACAGTGAGTGGTCGCGGTCTCTGTTCACCAGACCCTCTCCATTGGTACCAGCCCCTCATTGCCTGTAACGTCGAGCTGTACACACAGTGAGTGGTCGTGGTCTCTGTTCACCAGACCCTCTCCATTGGTACCAGCCCCTCATTGCCTGTAACGTCGAGCTGTACACACAGTGAGTGGTCGCGGTCTCTGTTCACCAGACCCTCTCTATTGGTACCAGCCCCTCATTGCCTGTAACGTCGAGCTGTACACACAGTGAGTGGTCGTGGTCTCTGTTCACCAGACCCTCTCCATTGGTACCAGCCCCTCATTGCCTGTAACGTCGAGCTGTACACACAGTGAGTGGTCGCGGTCTCTGTTCACCAGACCCTCTCCATTGGTACCAGCCCCTCATTGCCTGTAACGTCGAGCTGTACACACAGTGAGTGGTCGCGGTCTCTGTTCACCAGACCCTCTCCATTGGTACCAGCCCCTCATTGCCTGTAACGTCGAGGCAGATGGTGCGTCTCGTAACTACTTGGATTTTAGCATCGGCTGAACGGTAATGTCCGAGGGTTCCACAAAGTCCCTCAGTCCTCACCGGCACCCTCTCCGTCTACTCGTTCCGTTCGCTTTTCTCCCTCCCCAGTCCCCAGCCACCCCTCCTTCCCAGTCCGGTCACGTGCCTCCCTGTGGCCTCCCACCCTCTCCCCTCGTCGTGGGCTCGTTCCCCACTGAAGGATCCTCACCAACTCTTTCGTGGTTGTTATTAACAATCAGCATGTCGGGAGAACATGCATAACAAAATCGCGTGTGCACAAGTGTTAATTAAATGAGTGTGTCGAGAACGGGAAACTGCGGATGATTCAGAATATAAAGTAGAACTTGGAAAATGTGTACTTGAATTTCATTTGCATATCATTCATGGCGCGGTCGGTGGAAGAAAATGAAATGAACCCACCACAAAACACACAGAATCCTGTTCTAATTACTCTCACCGAACTGCAGTTTCGTGCTCTCCTGACGAGAGAAAACTCGACAGCAACACCACGGGCATGCCGCCCGACGGTAGCCTTGGATGCCAGTGACGAAGACTGGAGATTGTTTCTCTTTCAATGGGAAAGATACAAGACAGTCGCTGGACTTGTTAGAGAGGAAGCCATCAGACACGAGCTCCTATCGGCATGCAGCCCGGAGTTGGAAAGACAGTTGTTCCACTTGCGAGGAACAACTCTAAGTCAGTCGAATGAGGCCGATCTTCTCTCTCAGATAAAGGCGGTGGCAGTTCGTGGCCTGCATACTGCGGTTCATCGGAGCCAGTTCCACGCACTTCGACAGGCCCAAGGTGAGGATATCACGCATTTCGTAGCGCGGCTACGTTCCAAAGCCGCTCTCTGCGACTTCTCAGTAACTGCGCATAGACCTCACGCAGAAAGCACCGAGCCCGGCCCGATCAGTTACGAGGAGGACGTGCTACAGACGCAGATGGTTGTCGGTCTTTACAACCCAGAGCATCAAAGCCAAATTCTGTCGGCAGCCGATCGGTATCCGACATTCGCACAGAAATTCCAGGCCCTTCTCACGATGCAGGCTGCCGACGATAGCGAGAAGCAGCTTCAGACGGGCGTGTTGCCGACCAGCAGACAGGCAGCACCAGATATTGCGGCGGCTCATCGCTCTGCATATCAACAGCAGCGACACAAACCTGACAAGCCGCCCAATGCTGACAGCCAGGAGGAGCTCAGTCCGTGTCGCTGGTGCGGAGGGCGGCACAGGACGTCCGGCAACAAGTACCAGCACTCATCCTGCCCAGCACGTGGTAAGACTTGCACAAATTGTCAGAAGCGAAATCACTTCGCTCGTGCATGTCGGGCTGCCCAGCCAGTGAGTGCAAGCGCTGAGTCGTCCCTGGACGCGTTCGGAGACGGTATGGATGAGATATCAGCGCACGCTAACGTCTCCGGACCGGCTCAGTCAGCCAGCGCCCTGCCGTCTAGCACTACTGCCAGATCTACAGTCTCCCAGAGCAGTGCACAATCAGTGTCTCACATGGAGTGGAAAGATGGTCAGTTCACGACTTGCCAGCCAAAACGCCATCCAGAACTTCCAGTCACGCTCACCATCATGCAGGAAGCCCATTCCAGATTCGGGAAGCGTCTCACAGGGATCGAGCGCAGTAAAGTCGACCACGGCGTGCGCGTCACAGCGTGCGCTGACACTGGAGCCATGACCTGCTCTGGGGGGATGGAGATTTTGAAACTCCTGCGCTGTCCGGAACACCTTCTCCTGAAGACCTCACACCGCATCATTGGCGTAACGGGCACACGATTGGAGGTGATAGGCTCACTTCTGCTGAGGATTGAGGCCAAAGGACGAGTCACTAGACAAGTAGTGTACATCTCGCGCAACACGCACGGCCTCTATTTATCTGAAAGGGCCCTCAGAGACCTGGGAGTCGTGCCGGAACACTTCCCTTTGCCCGAAAACGGACCGGACGGATCTAAGGTTACGTCCCAGCGCACAGACCCAGATGAGGTCAACAAAGCACAGACCCACACAGCGCCCTGTGGGTGTCTGAAGAGGTCACCAGTGCCCGCGATCCCGGAGAAGATGCCGCTTCCAGCCGTCGAGGAAAACAGGGAGAAGTTAGAGCACTGGATCAGAGACCATTTTGCCAGCAGCGCATTCAATACCTGCGAGCACCAGCCACTCCAGGAGATGACGGGCACACCACTAGATATCCAGTTCAAGGCCGATGCAACACCGACGGCTGTTCATACGCCCATTCCAGTCCCCCACCACTGGAAAAGACAGGTAAAGGCCGGTCTGGACCAAGACGTACGTCTTGGCATAATTGAGCCGGTGCCACAGGGAACCCCGACACGCTGGTGTTCGAGGATGGTGGTCGCAGCGAAAAAGGATGGCTCTCCTCGTCGGACAGTAGACCTCCAGCGGGTGAACGAGGCCACCCTCCGAGAGACTCACCATACGCCCAGTCCCTTCAATCTCGTCGCTAGCGTGCCACCCGGGACAAAGAAGACTACCCTGGACGCATGGAATGGCTACCATAGCCTATCACTGGCCGAGAACGCGAGAGAAGCGACAACCTTCATAACTGAGTGGGGAAGGTATCGCTACAAGCGCGCACCTCAGGGATTTCACGCCTCCGGTGACGGCTATACACGCCGCATGGATGACATCACTGCAGGGACGGAGCGTCTTAGAAGGTGTGTCGACGACTCTTTGCTCTGGGACGGATCACTGGAGGAGGCCTTTTGGCACACCGTGCACTACATCACGCTCTGTGGGGAACACGGCGTCGTGTTCAACCCTTCTAAATTCTCTTTCGGGGCGGACACCGTTGACTTCGCCGGTTTCACAGTCACTGCTGACGGGTACAAACCAACGGGACGGCTTCTCGACGCCATCCGTAACTTTCCGACACCATCCAACCTCACAGGAGTCAGAAGCTGGTTCGGGCTGGTTAACCAAGTCTCCTACGCGTTTGCCCAGTCTGAGGTCATGTCACCCTTCAGAGAACTGCTCAAAACTAAAGGCAACAGCAAGTTTTACTGGGACGAGACTCTTGACCGACTGTTCCAGCAATCCAAAGATACCATTGCCAAGCGCGTGGCTGAAGGTGTGCGAGCATTTGAGATTGATCGGCCAACCTGCCTCTCAACAGACTGGAGCAGACATGGACTCGGCTTCATCCTCCAGCAAAAACACTGCCAGTGTGGCATGGAAAAGGCACCATACTGTGGGCCAGATCACTGGAAACTCGTATTCGCCGGGAGTCGCTTCACCACAGATGCCGAGTCTCGGTATGCCCCAGTGGAGGGAGAGGCTCTCGCTCTCGTCTACGGACTTCAGCAGTGTCGCATGTTTGTACTGGGATGTCCGAATCTCACCGTAGCAGTTGATCATAAGCCACTGGTAAAACTATTCTCAGACCAGTCGCTGGAGAACATAAAAAACCCACGGCTGTTCAGCTTGAAGGAGAAAACGCTCATGTACCGCTTCACAATCAAGCACGTCCCGGGGAAAGAGCATGTGGGTCCAGATGCTGCTTCCAGATATCCAGCCTCCAGCAGTGCAGCCACGCCCACACAGCTGAACGACTCGCTGAGCGGCTTTGCAGTCATGAGAGCTGAGCCGGCCCACACAGATACTGAACACGCACGAAGCATCCATGAAGCCATGGTGGCCGTTGCTGAGCTGGCAGCCTCCTCGGCCGGCTCGGACGGATTTCGAGCGATCACTTGGGAGCTGGTGAAGGAGGAGTGCATGGTAGACGCCACCAGCATCGACCTAGCGGCAATGATCTGCCGCGGCTTCCCCGAGACGCGTTCCGACGTCCCGGACCACCTCAAAGTCTTCTGGCCGATGAGACACGACCTGCATGAGCTCGAAGGCGTCCCATTCCACGGCCAGAAAATGTACATTCCACAGTCACTTCGAGTGGAATTACTGGAATGTCTTCACTCAGCTCATCAGGGCGAAGTGAGCATGAAAAACAGCGCTCGGAACCGATTTTTCTGGCCTGGGATGGATGCAGCAATAACACAGAAGCGAGCACAGTGTAAAACATGCCAAAGGATGGCCCCGTCACAGCCAAGCGAACCAGCGCTGGAACCGCCGTGCCCCGATTTTCCCTTCGAGATAGTCTGCACAGACTACTTCCAGCTGGCAGGCTACTTCTACCTGGTGTACGTGGACCGCTATTCAGGATGGTTGAACATCAGTCAAATGTCAGATGGCAAGATCTCGACCCTGGTCTCCGAGCTACGCAAGTATTTTGCGCACTGGGGCGTACCCGCCACCATTGAGTCTGACGGTGGACCGCCATTTAACAGCGAGGAATTCAAACAATTCCTCCAACAGTGGGGCATCAAGCACAGGCTCTCCTCTGCGCATTACCCCCAGAGCAATGGCCGTGCCGAAGTCGCTGTCAAAGCAGCGAAACGGCTTCTACAAGACAACACGAGCAGGTGCGGCCAGCTCAACACGGATCAAGTGACACGAGCGCTTCTTCAGTTCCGTAACACACCTGGGCGCGACGGTACGCGCGAGTCACCAGCACAGATCCTCTTCGGACGGCAGCTACGTGATGGACTCCCGACGCCGCACTTTGTTCGTCCCGAATGGGGGAAATTGAGGGAGCTCCGGGAACGTGGGTACGCTCAGCTGCACGGAAAGAACATCGACAAACGCTGCCTTGAGCCACTTGGCGTTGGGGACATAGTACAAGTACAGAACCAGCAAGGATCTCAGCCGACTCGCTGGGACCGCACCGGTATGGTCGTAGAAACACTGGGTAACCGTCAATACAGCGTCAAGATGCATGGCAGTGGCCGGCTCACCCTGCGAAACCGCCGCTTCCTCAGGAAGATACAGTCTCTGAACCCTGCCAATCATCAACCAATGAACCACACCACGGTCTACCAACGAGATCGCCCGCTCCTGCGCCCCAATGGACCGTCCGGAGCCCCCGTCCCGCCGGTCTTCAGTGCTGCGTCGGCGCCGGCCCCGGCGCCATTGCAGCCCGCCACCATCCATAGGCCGATTCCAGCATCAACAGCAAAGGCGACTGCCCGTGCGCCTCGGGCTGCCTCCTTAGCCCCACCATCAGTCATCCCACCAGCCAGCACTGATCCAGGGCAGCCGCTTGTCCAGCTACAAGCACCTTCGGCAGTTCAGCAAGATCCGCCACGCCGGAGCACACGGACGCGAGTCCCTACTAGGCGCCTGTCCATGACTCCACGTGGGCAGTCATACACAGAGATATCTGCCTGCTCCTCATCATTCAGATGGTGACATTTTCGACCACATACCCATGTCTGTGGTCGCGTTGGGGGGAGGACATGAAGGATCCTCACCAACTCTTTCGTGGTTGTTATTAACAATCAGCATGTCGGGAGAACATGCATAACAAAATCGCGTGTGCACAAGTGTTAATTAAATGAGTGTGTCGAGAACGGGAAACTGCGGATGATTCAGAATATAAAGTAGAACTTGGAAAATGTGTACTTGAATTTCATTTGCATATCATTCACCCACCACCCTCGTCTGCCGTCAGACGCTCTCTCACCCTCCTCCCCTCCGCGGACCGCGGACCGCCCGCAGTCCGTTTTTGCCGACCGTGCCGCCGCACTGCACAATGTGCACATATCCGACACATTGGAGAGGCTGGGAATGAGTCCAGTCCAGTCATGATGTCCGACGACGAGAGAGAGCCAACGCCTCCTGGCGACCCGCTATTTGCTGCATCATACTTTTAGTCCCATGACGGCGTTCCGATTACACGCCCTCTCTATTCATCAGGGACGTGTTTTACCAGCTCTCAGTCACACTGTTCTACAAAATGGGCGTGTCGCCAGAGGCCCCTGACATGGACAATACGCCTGTCGGTGTGCCTGGGGGCGAAATTGGTATCGATCGGCTCAGCCGCGCCGTACCATCCACACACTGACACGTAAACGGAGGGAGTGGGTGGGCTAGGGCGGAATATCACTAGAACGCTACAATGGATGAACAAAACGTTCCCGGCTGACTCGTAGCCTGGGACTACCCGACCAGTGACCACTTGGGAGCCCGTCCTGTGAGGTGCCGCAGCAGCTGCCCGTTTTATCCCATGTAGCCGCGCGTCTAACCAGGGTGTGGCCGGCTGTCACCCACTATCACCCGCTGTCACCCGCCAGTCGTCACCCGCGGGGGGGGGGGGGTGAGGGGGCAGTGGGACTGTGACGTCACGCCGCCGATGATGTGAGAGGCGGGGACAGGTGCTGACGGCCCCCGATAGTGGCACCGCCTCCGGAACGGACCACTGATCGACTTCAGCTGGCGAGCGCGGCCGGTCAGCTCCCTTATTATCGCTTTTTTATTCTGCAGAACAAAAAATCCACGAGCTAGAAATTGTTCATTGTAGAACACGTAAAGCAGGCTTCATGAGCTGGATAAGCCGCACGTTTGTAGATAATCACCAGATGAACGGTTCAACCTCGAAAAATACTGTCGACACGAAAACATTTCAAATAATTCCAGGCCCTTGCACATGTGATCCATTAATTGCGGAACCATAACTTCCCCTACCACCTGAACCAAAGCATGGTTCTTTGCGTTTCTATTAGAGTCGAGTACGCCAGGCTCAGTCACGTTGGCAGGCCTGCACGCACTGTGAAACCGAATTCAAAGGGGTCACGTCTGTGAAATGAATACAGGACACGCACCATAACGGTTCCCTGGCCGGAGTGCGTGAACTGGGCCATCCATGTGTGACGTCTGTCAGACACGTGAATCTATCTGCACGGAACATAAAATCCCTCCACATAACTGATCACCCGACGGGGCGCGACACGCGTCACACACGTTCCATTATCCCACGCCCGTCCCACGCCCAGGGACTCGGGCTAGCTCCTGTCGGAGAGCGCCGCCCAGGCCGGGCCGCCGCTCCGCAGGGGCGCGGCTCAGGGCGCGCCGGGCCATCGCTCCCCGATGGATGGAGCCGTGTCGAACCGTCGTGGTGAGCGGTGTTTACCCAGCGATCGGTCTTCGCCTCACGCCCGCGAGCTGTCCCCTGATGACGAATGACGTCTGTCCAGCAGCCAAATGCCCGATTTTTCAGCTGTCGGGAGCTTTGTCAGTGAATGGCTTTCCTGTGACATCAATCTGCCGCATCAGTCGTGGCGGATTTAAGACGACTCGTGTTTTGGCAGGCACGAATGTGTCACACATGACCCAAACTACCTCGGTGGCAACAGCAGCAGGCCAGCCGCCGTGGTACCGGACCAGACTGGCCGCCTACTGCCCACTGTCACCGCTGACCTCTCCCCTCCCTCGCGCAGGACGGCAGACGAGAAGGCCGAGTGGCTGGAGGCGCTCTGCTCGGTAGTGACCAGCTTCTATCAGCGGCGCGCCTCGCTCAAAGCCGAGCCACAGGGCTTCGAGGAGCTGGGCCGCAAGGCGCCCGTGATGCTGCGTCAGGAGGGCGTCTCGCGCTGCATGGACTGCGAGAGCCAGTTCGGCATGATGCGCCGCAAGCACGGCTGCCACGCCTGCGGCATCGTGAGTCCGGGACGTGGGGAACCGAGGTGGTGCTAGAGGCACTTCAAGAGGCTGGGTGTGCTAGCAACTCACAGCTTGGGCATCACGGCTTAGCTGTTTGGCGAAATGTCTTTATAATCCGGAGCAGTCATATCATATATTGAAGACCCGCTTCTAACTCCCATAACTTTATTATCCCCTAACACCAGCATCAGACTCGCGGCCTGACAATGCCTAACAGCGCCACCTACCACCACAGTCCGTGGCCGTTTCCCTGACCACTCCACTGAACCCTCTGACCTCTCCAACAGGTGGTCTGCAGCAAGTGCTCGCCCAACAAAGTGCCGCTGGCGTGCGAACAGAACAAGCCGGCGCGCGTCTGTAACCGGTGCCACGGCATCCTGACGGAGCGTGCGTCTGGGGACGGCGGCACTGCCTCGCCGAAGGTGGCCGACCGGCGCGCCAGTGTGCTCGACGTCACCTACACCCGCGGAAAGGGCGTGCTCGACGTGAGTGGTCCGCTGCGACTCTGGGCTGTTATTGGAATAGGAGTTCTCTCGATGTGGTAGCAATGGGTTGTAAGCCGGCCTGATACTGCTAAACTTGTGGCCGTTGATAACGAACCAGGCCTCTTCACAGTGTGTTCATTTCAATCAAATATGACGATATTCACTACTGTTCTCGCCTCGGTGCATCACAACACCATCTCGCCCAGTCCCGCCGCCTCGGATCCGTCTGACTGCGCCGTCCCGCGCTCCCAGGTGCCGGCCAGCGCCGACAGCCTGCTGAGCGGCTTCCTGCTGCTGCGCGGCCGCAAGGCCTGGTGGCGGCGCTGGTTCTGCCTGCGCGCCGACTTCGTGCTCTACTCGTACCCGAGCGGCGAGTCGGACCGGGCGCTGACGGCCACCCCGGTGCCGGGCTTCTGCGTCACCTGGAGCGGCGCCGGCGGCAAACCCGAACAGGCCGTGGTCGACAAGGACCGCGAGCGCACCTTCAAGCTCAGCCACGCACGCAAGAGCTACGTATTCCTCGGCGAGAGCAAGGAGGACGTGGCCAGGTGGGTGCCCAGCCCAGTCGTCACACAGCTGGTTGGGGCGGTCAGCTCAACTATTAAAGTCATTGCAGTTAATTCATTTGGTTATCCGTCCATAGGGCTTTCATTGGTTGCCATTCATTAATTGCTCGACTTGAGATATTTTGACATATATTGAAGGTGAATTAGAGCATTCATTCATTGGTCTATTCATCGCAGTGCTGTGGCAGCCCTTTTTAACCATTGCAGGACATACCGCCCGGCCGCTTACCGATCCTACTGCCCCCCCCCCCCCCCCCGCAGGTGGGTGGCGGCGCTCCAGAAGGCCTCCCGCGCCGAGGCGCTGCCCCGGACACCCTCGGAAGTCTGACCAGCGGCTCCCGAGGGCCCGCCGTCCTCCCTCCCAGCCCAGCCGGCCTGCGCACAGCGGTGACCCGCGGTCACGTGACAGTGATGTGTAACCTCCGGTCAGGTCACCAGGACTCTGAGATGGACCGCTGCTGTTAGTCGAGTGAGCCGCGCCCCTCACTCTGTGGAGGCGAAATGGGTTTGTGGCTGGAGGCGTCGGCCCGCGTTCAGGAAGGCACGTCTACGTTACGGTGTTGTGTTACAAATGGTGTGAGATCTGCGCAGTGTGACACTGGGGGCTGCGGCCCTTGTGACGTTTTGGTTTGTTCTGAAGACTGGCGAGTGTATGGTCCGGTCAGTGCGCCCAGAAAGTGCAGGGATCGGAATGACGACGGACGCCGCCTAGCACTGAGGCAGCTGCCGCCAGCTCCCCTGTCGCGTTTGACACGCTATTCTGTGATTTTCGGTAAGAGTGTATTGCGTTGTGAGAAGTGACAAACATGTATTAGGTCCGGCGCCCTGTGGCGCGGATGGCGTGAGATGACTTTCAAGTAGTTGTTAGCGCGGTGTCGTATTCGACAGACCCAATACAAGAAGGCCCTGGCCCGATGCCGTGCTGGATAGTGTTGTGTACACACAAAACATCAACTCTGTGCTGGCGCTGCAACTTTTCGAGGTATCCCAGCAGGTTTTGCAAAGCCGACCTGCAGTATCATGGAGCCAGTATCTCTTTGAACAACACTGGTGCGTGCGCTTAACTTACTTGATGGTTTCTTTTAAATTACCCCCATCAACAGGTCATATATAAGAAACAGCCATTCTATTCCAACGAGTTATAGGTGGAACAGCTCACAATATGTGGAAACTTACAACTGGAAGCTTTTGGTAAACGACAGATATGCAGCGGCAAGCTCGCGGAGGCGCCCGTAACACCACATCCACATGCCACCCAGCAGGCGGTGAGACGCCCCGAACGCTTGGCGTTCGCGCGCGCAGGGGGAGCCGAAAACGCGGCGCGCTTCCGAAAACACATATAAACTCTATCACATGATTCAGCAGTAACGGTTAGTGCGCAAGCGCGCGAGTAAACTAGGAGAGCTATCGCGGGTACTAAAGTGGCCCGTAAGTACCGCGCACGTGGCACGCGCTAAGGTCGAGAGTTGCGAGCAGCGGCGGCGCGCCCAGTCGGCACTCAGCTGCTGGTCTGTCAGGCGTTGATGAGCTGCACGTAGTTGGCCGGGAAGAGGCCGAACTGGCCGGCCGGCGACACGCCCTGCCACCAGCCCTCGTCGATCTGCTCGATGTTTGTGATGATGTCTCCCGGATCGAACGTGATCTCCGTGTCGTCCACTGCCGGGCAGACTGGCGGTCAGGTTCAGCGACAGGCTTCACAGAACGCCAGGCAAACACAGCGCAACACAGCATAAACTCGAGAAATTCGACCTCCGTAGCAAGCATCGCTTAGTCAGAACTGGTGATGACGCGGGCATTCAGATTCGGCACAAAGTGTGAATGACAACTGGAGTAATTGCGATGAGACATAACCAAATATGCCAGCAATGACAACGTTAGTAAAAGTCTTCCAACCCTAGCTGCTGCTGCAAATTGGTACCCAGCGGTGAGTTACAAAAGAACTTGAATTTTAGTTGAGACTCAGATGTATCTATCTGAAACCAAGAGCCTGACAAGACGACGACGACGTTTCGCTCAGAGTCCCAACGGACGGACCACTAGCCTCGTTCCCCTAGGCCGCACCACTCGGATCACATCCCCCGGATGCAGCCCGCGGTTCTCCCTCCCGAAGTGGCACTGGTGGCGCAGCACTCACCGGCCTGGTAGTCGTAAAGCGCCTGGGCGCACAGGCCGTGCTCGGGCGCGATCGAGACCGAGGCCAGCTCGCCGGTCACCGTGGTGATCTGCACCTCGCCAGTGATCACCGCCGGGCCGGCGCCGTCCGCGTGGCCCCGCTCCGGCTCCGGCTCCGGCTGGGTGTACGCTGCAGCGGCAGCCGGCTCCGGAGCTGTGTAGGCCGCCGCCGGGGCGGCAGCCGGCTCCGGCTGGGTGTAGGCCGCCGCGGGAGCCGGCTCCGGCTGTCTGGCAGAGGCCGGCTCCGGCGCCGGGGCTGGCTCCTGTGCGTGTGCCGGTACGGGGGGAGGGGACGGCTCCCGCTGTGCGCTGACCGGGCCGGGGGCCGGGGATGGCTCCTTAGGTGCGTGGGCAGGGACCGGAGGAGGCGACGGCTCCCGCTGGGTGAAGGTGGCCGTGGGAGCCGGCTCCTTGGGAGCGGCAGCCGGTGTCGGCGCCGGGGCCGATTCCCGGGCGGCTGGAGCGGGGTCTCTGTGGCCGTTCGGAGCGCCGCCTGCGGGCACTGCCGATCCGTTCAGCCGGCCCGCCGGTCGGGCCGCCGCCGCCGGCTCCTGCTGACCAGTGGAATCTGCCGACAGAGCCGACCCCGGGGGACACAGGTGAGACGCGGCGGCCGGGGTAACCCTCCCACACTCACCATTCATTCGACAGACCCAGACCGGCCAACACCAATGTTATCGCTGGACGCTCGACTGGGGAGGGAGAGCAAACCTCGCCTCCGCTCAGCACGACAGGAGTCGCAAATAAACATCCATCGAACGGGTTGAGTCACGACAGCGCCCGCGACATTCCACGAAAACAAACAATAGCCGGCATTCTCAGAGCATGACTGCAGCGGATGTGCATTGAAAACTGGCACCGGCTCGACAGGATATTGTTTATTTGGCAGTGGAGGAGTGCCAACTCGAACCGAGGAGCACTGAGCGAGTTAGACGAAAACGAGTTGCCCAAGAAAATGTGGTGGCAGAAAGGTGAGGAATGGGGGAAAGTCTTGAAGTCTGACACGGCGAAGTAATAAAAGTAAAACATGGCTTCTTTTGAATGGGAGAGAGCGAGTGCTTCAATCTGCCCAGTAGAATCAAAACTTATATAAGTGTATTTTATAATTGCACTTGATAATTATATTTTGTTCGGCCAAAAAAAAAAAAACAAAAAAAGCACGTGAAAGAAAAAAATATATCAGAGCGAAAGCACGGCAGTTAGATCCTCCGCCCAGCCGCAGCGCAGCGGCCGCGGCGGGGCGGCGCGTGGCAGCTGGGGCGCCGACTCACGTTGTGCAGCTGCCGGCGGCCAGCGTCTCGCCACGCCGCCCGGCCGGCCCACCGGGCTGGTAGGGCCCGAGCTGAGCTGGCCAGAGGCGGTACCGCGCGCGAACACGGCGCGCGCCTCGCCGGTCCGGTGGCCGATCAGCTCCTCCGCCTCCTGAGGGCAACAGACGGAAGGGACGTCGGCCACGGCGGTACCCGGGGTGCTCCACGCTGCATCCGGGACGACAGCCGTACCAACTCACGAACAGGGCTAACGGTATGTATAAGAGCCACCTGTCCAGCCCTAACCTATTATGCCAGAAACTATTACAGCTGCATTATCTAACTATTCCTCCTCCCGGACTGGGACCCTAGTCTGTGCCGCACCTGTTTCCGCTCGGCCCGCAGCCGGTCGGCGCGGTGGCGACGCCCCTATCCTAACTACTATCACCAGGACCCCACAGACCCCTCTGAGACTCTCTGTGCCGCACCTGTTTCCGCTCGGCCCGCAGCCGGTCGGCACGGTGGCGCCGCTCCTCCTCAGCACGCTGGTCCTCAGCCAGACTCTGCTGCCAGCGCGCCGTCTGCTCGCCGTCCTGGGAGAGCACCCGATCGGCCTTGCGCTCGGCCTGGCGCGCCTCGTTAATGGTGCGGCTGCGCTCCAGCTCGTGTCGCTCTCGCAGCTTGGCCGCCTCCACCTGCGCGGCGACGACGACCGGGAATGAGCGGCGACAGGGACGTGATCTGTCAGAGTTTAAATGGCACGCAGACTACTACGGTCAGTGGCGCTTAGCCAGAATATGTTTTGTGTCTCCCTTACCCTTCAAACAATGATATTATGTCCATCCGTCCTTCCTCGCCTCTCTTCTCGTCACTTTTTCCATCTCTCTTCTTTCCTCACCTCTCTTCTGTTCCTCTCTGTCTCGAGTCGCGCCTTCTCCTCGGCGACCCGTGTGAGCTCCTCCTGCTGGCGCTGTTTCTCCTCCTGCTCCTGACGCTCCCAGAACTTGTCCCGCTCAGACAGGTTGATCTCCGCCGTCGGAACGATGCGGTGGTAGTTGGTGCCCTGCCACGACCAGAAAACGGTCAGCGTCAGCCCATAGACACTCAGCAAGATTATTGCCCCAATCGTAATAGGAACAGTACATAAAGCCGACAAAAGATCAGTGAACATTGCTTTGATGAATACTATCGATGAGGATTTGGTCAATTAGTCCCCCTTCAACACAATTACTACGACCGGTTCCTGCTGTTCTCGTTCCTCCTCCCCTTCCCGCTCCTCCCTAACACACCGCCCCTCGGTCGCGTCAGCGTACCACTGGAGCGCTGTCGGCGCTCCTGGCGGCGGAAGCGGCGGCCGGTTTGGGCGCCGCCCGCTCCGCCTTCTGCTCAGCCTGCCGGACCTCCGCGATGTTCCTGGACCGCTCCCGCTCCTGGTTGGCTCGACTTTTGGCGTCGGCCAGCTGCGTAAGAACTCGCCGCGTCAGAAACAGGTTCCTATCAGGACGGAAACAGGTCCCTATCGGGACGGAAACAGGACCCTACCGGGGCGGAAACAGGCCATTATCAGCGCGGAAACGGATCCCTATCAGAGCCTGCGCAAACAGGTTCCTATCAGAGCGACATGGCGTGAGATACACAGTGAAAGGGGCAGCGCGCAGCGGCAACAAACGACCTCAGAAACATGCCGTGTGTAATAAAGATAGCAATACCGCTATCACAGTTCCGGCACATACTGTGTGACGAGATAAGAAAGCAATGCACGCTTCAGTGTTCAGAATCAGTCACTGTGGAATGTCGACGTCAAATACATTGCACCATCGACAAGCCCTCAGATCGTCATCAACCATGATATGAATAGTAACGAAACACTTCAAGTCAAACTGCAAAAAGGTGGCACATGACAGCCCATTCATTATTTCATGCCTGATGTTAAGAGTTGGGCCGGGTACAAAAGCACTATTTCTATGCGTGGCACAGTTTATCTATAAAAAATGCACGAACTTTGTAATACCACACTTAACTTTTTGTACACTTAAACTTGCCTTTTCTGTTACTTACTGTCTACGCATTTATTCTTATCTCTTCAGTTTTCAGGCTTTCAATCCTGCACACCTTTATTTAGCCTACCATCTACCATTTCATCTTCACAGCTCACGTCAGTCCTTCCCCCATTCCTTATCTTTCTGCCACCACTTTCTGCATCTTTTCTCCTCCCTCGCCTCTCCCCATCCTTCATCATCCCCCTCCCCTTCCCTCGCTCATTCGCCCCAGAACCTCTCCGCTCCCCTCCCCTCACCTCTCTTCTGTTCCTCTCTGTCTCGAGTCGCGCCTTCTCCTCGGCGACCCGTGTGAGCTCCTCCTGCTGGCGCTGTTTCTCCTCCTGCTCCTGACGCTCCCAGAACTTGTCCCGCTCAGACAGGTTGATCTCCGCCGTCGGAACGATGCGGTGGTAGTTGGTGCCCTGCCACGAAAAACACGTCACTTGATAGTAACGAAAGACGCGCT